TGACTAAAGAGACCGATACGGGACACGCAGAGTCGTTCACATTCGTTGCACATGTGGAGGGCTACATCTAGTGCGGGAGGGGCGGTGGCAGCGTCTTTCCGGCGTTGGCGCTTGTCTGCCTCGGTTTGCACTCGGGCTAACTCGAAAGTATTGACACCTTCTCGTGTGGTGCTCCTCTAAGCGTTATGATGTGGAGTAATCGACTCCCAGGTGAGGGGGTCGATTTGGCACTTTCAGGTTTGTCTTAAGACTATCCTTATACCTTTTCAGTTGCCCGCCGGCGTTACGTTTACTATTCGTTAGGTGACTGTAAAGTAGCTGCTTTGGCAGTCTACTGTCGTCCATGAGGGTAACATGGCCAGTCCAGCGTAGCTGTTCATGGATAATGGTAGCCTCGATGCTCCTACAGTTGGCGTCAGCAAGAAAACTGGTTATTTTTTTCTCTTGTCTTCCCAACGAACACGGATGGAACGTAGACTACGTTGGTGAAAGTTTTTAAGTGCCTTGAGGTGCCTCCTGTATGTGACCCATGTCTCACTGCCATATAGCAGGGTGGGGAGGACCAGTGCTCGATATACGTGCAACTTTGTAGATAATTTCAGCTCCCTACGCTGAAGACACGGTGTCTCAGTCTGTCAAAGGCTTGAGATGCACATCTGATCCGATGCCGAATCTCTTCATCGATGTGGCGGTGGTGGACAGGTGGGAGCCGAGATATCGAAAGTGGGTAACATTAGAGAGGGTAGTACCGTTAAGCTGGATGGATGGTGGAGGTGTGTCTGAACCAGGGGCAGGTTGAAAGAGAATCAGAGTCTTACGTACATTAACCTAAAGGCCGAAGTGTGCATACGCATCTGCGTAGGTGTTCAGGATCTCCTGTAGGTCGTGTTCAGTGTGAGCAACAAGGGTAAGGTCGTCTACATACTGGATTCGTCTTATGTTGAAAAGACCCTTCATCCGGTACTCGATGTCCACCCCGCCGGCTAAATTGGCACGAGTAAGGAAGGCAGGCAAGAAAATGGAAAAGGGAGTTGGCGCCAGTACACACCCTTGTTTAACCCCCGTTTGGATGGGGAAGAACTCAGACTGGGTGCCGTTGTGCAAGACACCGCAGTTCAGGCCATCGTGAAGTTGCCTCACAATGGCGATGAATTTTGGTGGGCAGCCAAAACGGCTGAGGGTCCACCAGAGGGCTTCCCTGTTGATCGAGTCGAAGGCCTTGGTTAGGTCAATGAAAGCCATGTACAGGTCACGACGCTGTTCTCTGCACTTTTCCTGTAGCTGGCAGGCAGCAGGGATCATGTCAGTGGTGCCACGTGATGGTTTAAATGCACTTTGAGATTCTGGGAGGAAGTTTTCCGCCTCAGGAAGAAGTCTGTTTAGGAGGACTCGGGCGATAATCTTGCCAGCTACAGACAGCAGCGAGATCCCGCGGTAGTTGCGACAGTCTGACCGGTCTCCCTTGTTCTTATAAATATTGACACACACACACATCATTTGCTTTTACGCATGATACAGGAAAAAATATGAATGAGAGAACCATATATCCAACACGCCAGCCACTAACTTTTAAGACTGAACTCTCAGGGGGAAGGAACCCCCCCATCCCCCCCCCACCCATCATTTGTTACAACACATAAAAACAACTTTCCACAAATTAATATTCCCAGAAACTCAAAACCGAGAAACAATTATCATTAGGATTATTAAGAAAACTTCTGCTATTGGTCCTGTTCTTAATTGTTATTATAATTATTGCTGTCATTATTAGCAATCATTATTTATATCTTCATTGTGGTTATTGTCCAGTTAATAATAATAATAATAATAATAATAATAATAATAATAATAATAATAATAATAATACGTACAGGTATTTACCCCCAGAGCCTCACCTCTTGCCTCCCTAAAGTGTCTCAGCCTCTTCCTCCCCTTACCTACCATCACCTCCCCTTACCTGCCTACCAACACCTTCCCTTACCTACCAATCAACACCTTCCCTTACCTACCATCACCTCCCCTTACCTACCTACCATCACCTCCCCTTACCTACCTACCATCACCTCCCCTTACCTACCTACCAACACCTCCCCTTACCTACCAACCAACACCTCCCCTTCCCTTACCTACCAACACCTCCCCTTACCCCCTCCCCCCACCACGTAACTCACTCCACAGACCCACAACCCAGTAATCTCGTGTGATGGACCGATACACTCCCTGTTCAAAGTGAGTATCATTAAAATATAATTACCTCTAAAAAAAAAACAATGTAAAAAAAAAATATATATATACCTGGTCATCTCTTAATTAAATTTGGGAATATTAGCTCTGTTCGGATACCAGGTCGACGATTTAACCCCTCCCTGATACAGTTGGTTTGATTAGATGGTTTGTTCTAGGTCAGCAGGTGGTTCAGAGTGTACAGCTGGTGCGGTTTAGTGTCCTTAACAGGTGTTTGGAGGAGGGGGAGGGGGGGGAGGGGTATTACAGGTGGTTCGTGTGCAGGTTACAATTAACACACACACACACACACACACACACCTAGCACACACACTACAACACTCACACTACAACACTAACACTACAACACCCACAATTATAGAACACAACCGCCCCTTCATCTTCATCACTATCATCATCCAACACACTCTTCTCTTATACACGACACCAGATCTCTTTCCCCAACTACTATTAAAGTGTGTTTTAACGCTATTAAGAAGTTACCTCATCCTCTTGTGGTCCCCGAGTGAGTATTTCCCAAATTGGCTACCGCTCCTTTCCGCTTCTTACCGCACCTTACCGCTTCTTACCACTCCATACCACACCTTACCGCACCTTACCGCACCTTACCGCTTCTTACCACTCCATACCACACCTTACCACTCCATACCACACCTTACCGCACCTTACCGCTCCTTACCACACCTTACCGCTAGACGTTCTATCTCACACCAGTGGTTCATTATTTCCCCTGTGGGTTATTATATAAATTCTAATATACCTTATACTTATGTAATATATTATACAATTATACTAATGATAATTCTATAATATATACAAGTACTAATTATACCTTAAAACTAGAGGTGTAAATATTCAAAGGTAATATTTCTTTAATTACAGGTAATACAGGTAAGAGGTTGGGTCATTAATACCATATATCTACACACCTGGAATATGTATAATTTAGGTTAGGTTAGGTTCCTTCATACAGGTGTGGCATCTACTCGAGTCATCTCAATCATTATATCTTTACACCTTACATTATAACTCTGCTGACATTCTTCTCTCATGTTACCTTGTATAAATGTGCAATTTACAGGTAATTACTAGTAGTGACCACATATTGTAAATTATACCTCATTAATTATACTTCATTAGCCAGTAAGTACATTATTATAGGTTCGGGAAAACTAGTTTTAAAGTTCCTCGGTACAGGTGTGAAATTATTTTGTTGTATGCGAGGACAGGTGAGGAGCACAGGTGAGGAGGACAGGTGAGAAGGACAGGTAAGGAGGACAGGTGAAAAGGACAGGTAAGGAGGACAGGTGAGGAGAATAGGTGAGAAGGACAGATAAGGAGGACAGGTGAGGAGGACAGGTGAGTGTTAACATGTCACCACCGGCTCTCTCTCTCTCTCTCTCACACAAACACACACGCACTCTCGCTAAGTAAGTGTATCCCTCATACCCTCACCACAACTCATCACACTCACCAGGTAGGAGAGAGAGACAGACAAGGGACAGAAATATAATCTTATAAAACAAGCAAAGAAAAACAAAAACCTTAGCTTGGAAACTGATCATTCATCCACAGTGACAAAGATGTTCAAGTACAGACCAGAATGTGACCACACCACTTACCTTAATATAACCCAGAAAGGAAGTGAATCAAATACACTAATTATAAAACTGAAAAGCTAAACATAACACAACGAGAATGAAGGAAAGGGTAATATGTCAAGTTTTTACGTATATAACCCTCATAAAAAAACACGCCATGGTTAAAAAGATCATTGAAAAAAAACCCAGTGATTATAATAAAAAAAAACAAAAAAACACTTGTATTAAAGGGCATAAAACACGAGAAAAACGACAAAAAAAACAGCTGATGCCTCTAAATTGGTTCCTTGTTTATATACACAGACAACAGGTAACCATTAACGGAGCTGAAACGAAGGTCCGTGTGATTGGTTGATTCGTGAACCAATGAGACGTGATTCGTATTCCCGTCCGCCATGTTTGTTTTGATAGCTTACCATCTCTTCTCATTGGTGAAACGAATCAACCAATCAGACGCTGCCGTTTCTCCAGTACACACCTGTTGTTTATGGATACGTCATCAGGGGACCAGTTTAGTGACAATCCCCCATTAAGTTATTTCTACGCTTTTAAAACATTTTCTTATCCACCTGCAAAAACACACACACAAAAACACAAAAACTATGGTATAAATATATCTGGTGTCCTTTCACAAAAATGGACATCCCAGCAAGGCAAAAAGATCTAGGACACGAGAGAGAGAGAGATAATAAAAAAATAAATCCGTAAACCTTAACACAAACACGATAAAATACGGAATAAAAACAAAACAAATAACAATGAATTATATTATTAAACCAAGAATAAAAAAAAATACAAATTACTGAAAAAAACACGAGACGTAAACATGGAAAAATACGAAATGATGAAACAGGAAGAATTTTTTGAAACTATGGAACACAGACACGAGGCAAATGACTGAATAACAACAACAAAAATAACCTGAAAAATAATTAGGGTAATGACAGGTAAAGTACACACCTGTATTATGAACTGAAACTAAGAGTAGGAATAAGATATGGAGGGAGGGTGTGTGGGGGAAGATGGAAGGTGTGTGGGGGGGTGTGGGGGGATGGGGCAGAGTGTGGGGGATGGGTGTGTGTGGGGGGATGGGTGTGTGTGGGGATGGAGCAGGTGTGGGGGGATGGAGAGTGTGGGGATGGGGATGTGCCTCACCTTCTATGTCTCGCTCTCTTCTTTTCTCATCAGAATGAGGCCGGACCAGGAACGTCGACGGTGACACTCGCTGGTGCTGCCTCGACCCTTCCGTGCGTCCAAGAACTCCTCAGAACCTGCCACCAGACACGTCAATACCAATTAGTACACCTGACACACCTAACTCACCTGTGTATAAAAAATGAAAACTATGTAATTTACCATACGTGTATAAACTACATACATACATACATAGTCACATACGAAGTTTATACACAACAATGGTTAAATACTTACACATCACCAACTCCAAAATCAACCTAAGAAAGCAGGGATAACTTTCATCTTTTTTTTTTTAATTATATTTTATTCACTTTAGTTCTCTCAGCAACGACACTGTTCCTGTGATCTGTGGTTCCTACCCGAGAGAACCTCCACTACATGACTCGGGTGTTACGTGCTGCCCTGGAGGAGTGGTGAGAGAGCGAAAGGTTGATCTTCGCTCATCCTTGACGACGTTTGAAAATTAAAATATATCCTGACGAGTGTTGAAATGCTCTCAGTCCAAATAGGCCCCAACAGAGAGGGTTAGGTTAGGTTAGGTCAGGGCCTATTAAAACTAAGAGCAGGAGTATCAGAGCCTTTGTTCCCATCGTTTAATTTTTGTCTTTCAAGGTCCATATGCTTAAGGTCTCAGCATGTTAGTGTTGACGAACGAAAAAACAATGAAAACATAACGTACACTGAGTCACCACCCAGATTGTTAAAAGATGTCCTGACTAAGGCATATATGGTTGACCAGAAGGTTCCAAGACGTTTCCTCCCACTTGCACCCATTCCCTCCCCTGCACCCATCACCCCTCTTCCTGCACCCATCACCCCCCCTGCACCCATTACCCCTCTTCCTGCACCCCCCATTTGCACCCATTCCTTCTCCCTTGCACCCCCCCTGCACCCATCACCACTCCCACCTATTCCTTCCCCTGCACCCATCACCCCTTCCCTGCGCCCCCCACACCCACCTGTTGACATACACAAAAGGTGAGAGCAAAACGGGACCAAAACTCCCCTAAAACATAACAGGTAAATACAGACTCATGTTGGGTTACATTCACAAATCATTTTTTCGTCCAACTCTGTATTAATCGTCAACATCAACAGCATGTATGGACGGAGGCAACAGCAGGTTCAATTTTAATTTAAGTTCCACATTTCGTTCCCCGCCTTGACGCACCACAACATCCAATAACCTAACATTTAACATTTTTAGTAACAGATCAAATACGGTGGGTGTTGACTTCTCGTGTTCCCTCAAGGGCTTGTTTGGGGTTGTCTTGCCCGTCTGCAGTGTATATAAATACACCGAATACTTTCAGGAGAATATTTCCACACCATAATGACACGCCAAACATTGTAATAACTAGTCAAATGGAGCCCCCCTTGTACCAGTAGGCCCTATCTCTAATAGTTAACCTGTAAACCTTCCTCAATATTATTTTAAATCGTTCTACTTTAATGTCACTGTTGGAAAGAATAAACTTCACACATTGTACATGAGGAAAAAAAAGTGACATCCCCCGACTATCGCCCAAGTTAGGAGATCACGATAATGGAACAGAAGGTGAACTCATCGAAGTGGAAAATACTGACGGAGGCGGCGCTGGTGGGTAATGCAATTTTTTCCATGAATTGGGAAGGAACCAAATGTGAGAGGTGGGAGAGGTGGAAAATGTCGAGAAGAAAAAACCAGGATTGAGAAATACGGAAAGATATTATTAGAAGAAGAAATGTTATTAACAGACAAAAGACATGAACGTAATCCCTAAACTCGGATTTTTTTTAATATTATTAAAAAAATAAAATCTGCTCCCGTAAGTTCCAAAACGGTTCAAATAATAATAATAATAATAATAATAATAATAATAATAATAATAATAATAATTGTAATAATAATAATAATAGTAATAATAATAATAATCCATCAAAATTATCCACATAACAAAAGTCATACTCAAACTCTGAATTATTTACGTCAAGTTTGAAAAAAAATCCTGGAAAAATGTCGGGAATGATTTTACTAGAGTGATGACGTCAGTGTCGGAGGCGGGATGGACGGGCGAGGTGACGGACGGGCGGACGGGATAGACAGTGACACTATGCCCCCACATACCGTAAAATAACACACACACACACACACACACACACACACACACACACACACACACACACACACACACACACACACACACACACACACACACACACACACACACACACACACACACACACACACACACACACACACACACACACACGTGAAATAAACACGAAATACAAACCGGATTTCTAAAAGCAATATAAATGATAATATTATTGTTTAGATGTTTATGTTAGGACCCTGTCTTGGTGTAATTTATTTATTTATTTTTTATTGGGCACCCCACCCCCCTACATCCTGTGTAAGGTGAAGCACAGAAGCGTTTAGAGCCCAACAGGGAAGTATGCTAAGTTCATGCTTGTCTTTATGTCTCATGAGTTAAGGGCGTAGAAGCCTGAAGAGTCAATGGTTTATGTCTAAGCAAGTTATTGGAAGCTCCAACAACTTTCCCTGAATAAGCATGACGGTCGATATGGGACAGAGTGAACACAGTGTATACAAAGCCTTCGGTATACAGGGAAATACCGTAGACTCACCGACACCACTCGATCGCCTTCACTCCCCCAACTTGTGTAAAGTTAGGTACCCATTTACAGCTGGGTTACTTGGGAGTGTCCTAGGATCGAACCAGTGACCCTAGAAACAAGAGACGAGCGCTATATCCACTCCACCAATCTATTTCAACTACACTCCCTTTAAGAATGAATCCTTACCTTCACTCCCTTTAAAAACGGAATCTCACTTACGATCATTGTATTGTAAACATCACATTACAGGAGACCAGGCCCCCCAACATGCCTGGCCTGGCCTGGCCTGGCCTGACCTGACCTGACCTGACCTGACCTGACCTAACCTAACCATGCAGGGGCGAGGGGAGGGTCAGGGGGGGTGGGGGTGTTAGGGGGGAAAGGCGCAGGTAAATAATAACGTGTAGAGGCGGGAGCAGCTTTCATCTTGCTTGGCTAACAAATAAATCTTGAAAGGCATGACCCCAGCCAGCCAGCCGTCCGACCCAGCAAGAATTCTGACCATTTTATAACAAGATGGAAAACCAGGGGTGGGGAGAGGACGTCGGTGGAGGGGAAGGGGAAGAGGAGGAGGGGGAAGGAGGGGGAGAGGGAGGAGGGGAAGGGGGAGAGGAGGAGGAAAAACGGAGAAGGAAAAAAAAGATTAAATGTAGGTGAAAAAGTTTCGGAGGAGAGATGGAGACAGAAGAGGAAGAAGAATTAGAAAAAATAGATTAATGTATAAATAAAATGATAGAGAAAAAGAAGACGGGTAGAAGAACGGACAGATGGGCGGAATGGCGGACGGGTGAACTGGGGCGTGGAGGGATGGACGGACAAATTGGAAGCCTAAACACCGTAGCCATGAAGGAAGGAAGGAAGGAAGGAAGGAGAGCTTTGTAAGACCGAACAATTATTATAATTATGCAAATTTATCCCAAGGAAAAAAATATTTCATCTCTGACATCAAGAGAAAGTTCAAGGATGATTTAGTTAAGAAAAACCTTCCAAATATCTCGGCAGGAATAATATAACGATGTGAAACTGTAATGGAAAGTCTGGATGGCAAAGTATGGATGACAAAATATGGATGAAAAAGTATGGATGACAAAATATGGATGACAAACTATATTAAAACAGAATGAAACTAGATTAAAGTAAAAAAAAAATTACATACAGACACCAAAGAAACACTTCTCTTTTTCTTCCGGGTCACAGTGAGCTTGACCTTATGACACTGACACCTTCTCAGTATAGTTTGGGAAATATGTCACAGCAAAACAAAAGTTCTCATGATGAAACTAAAATATTAACTGACAGGTAACATCAATATTCCCTCAAGCCAAAGCCAGCAGAGATATGTTTATATAGATGTAAACATGACCAAGAGGCAAACAATGGCCGCAAAGCTCACAAAAGGATCCCTTGATCAGCTATACAACAGCCATATGACGTTTGATCTAGTGAGTCCATTATTGATAAACTTCATTTCCATAAAGACAAGGCACAGAAGCTCCAAAAAAGTATATTTACGATTTTGTGCGAGACAATGTGAAACAACGGACGAAGCATTCTGAAAATCCTACCGAGACAAGGGGATTTGCAGCGTTCATTTTGGAATTTATCGCATCCATCCATAAAGATTTTTTTTTTATATATAGAAACTTGAAAAGAATTCTGATCTAGACATCAAAATTCTACTTGGTAACAATGACGTTAATCTTGAGACCAAACCCAAGATCTATAAGACTTCCCTCTCCTCAGGGACGCTTCTCGGTGTCTCAAAGCTCCAGTTATGGCTCGTGAAACAATACGATAAGAGAGAGACAATGAGCACCTTACCGTTATGCGCTTCGCTTGACGAGTATTAAAGACAGGAACAGGGAATTAGAACAGAAAAACAAAAATAAGAAAGAATCAGGAACCCAAGAAGAGAAGCAGGAATTAAGAGAAGGGTGAGAAGGAATTATAGAAAAAAATAAAGTTGGGAGTTTCAGAAGAGCAGAGAGAGCGGTTGAGAGGGAAAAAATAATTCCCTAAAAGGTGTTGACGACGAGGAAGGAGCAGACGAGGACGAGGAAGAAGCCGGCGAGGACGAGGAGGGAGCCGGGGTGAAAGTTATCGGCTGGCAAAATTATTTCGTGTGTGTGTGTGTGTGTGAAGGGAAAATTGAGTGTTGAGAGAGGAGGAGGAGGAGGAAATACTGGAGTTCTGGGGATGATGAGGATCGGGAGAGATGCAGGAGGGGGAAAATGAGGGAAAAATGAAGGGAAATTTCAGGGAGTTGAAGGAATCGGTGGGGAATAAAATTGAGAGGTGTGAGGTGGGGGGGTGTGGGGGGCTATCATCAGGTGCTGGGGAGAAAACGGATGTTACAAAGATGGACAAGGAATTATGGGGAAAAATAAGAGGATTGGGAGGTGCAAGAACTGGAGAAGAGAAGTGGGAACTGGATGAGAAAAAGGAGGAACAA